AGGTCAGTGTCTTTTTCCATCTCACTGTATCTGTTCCACAAATGCTTTGGCAGTAGAGTTAGTTTCTCATTCTGTACAATGGCTGTAGATTGAATTTGAATTGCTGCAGGTGGAGAATCATTCTTCTTTCAGTAACAATCTGTCATCTCTCTTCTCTCAGGATGTTCTTGCCTACATTTGAGTTTGGACGTGCTGTCCTCTGCCTGGACTTCATGGTCTTTGCACTGCGGCTCCTTCACATCTTTGCCGTTAACAAGCAGTTGGGGCCCAAGATCATCATAGTGGGCAAAATGGTGAGTGTGAGGTTATCAGTGTCCATTGCATTCTAATCTCTGCTGGATATCCTAGCTAGGGATTAAATGGTAAATTGCATTTGTAAACAACGTACAAAAAACAAAACACCATCAGTTAAAGATGGAAAACAAAGTCAATGAATAAACGCTGCTGTACAAAGCATCTTTAAGAAAGATTTCAATCGGTCCATATTCTCATGTGCTTTTGTTCTGGACAGAAAGCTCCATTGTTGTGGTGCAAGAATGCAAAATGTCTCTCATTCTTTCAGTGAAACCTTGTTATAGGTTGTTATTTACGCACAGAATCTACCGATCTTGGAAAGTTAGCAGGATTGTAAATGTGCATTTGAGGTCTTGTCAGAAAAGAGCTGGATTGTAGAACTAATCTAACATTTTAAACAGAGCCAGTGTAATCTGTGTAGTACTGGAGCTTTCTTTTCAGAAGCATCTGTATTTAAGACTGGGACCACTGGGTTCTGCACATACTGGGGCGATTGTGATGGCTCCTTGTGATGAAATGGAATGATTTCACTTCTGATTTGTGTTTAAAGACTTTGTAGAGTGAAAGGCTATTAAAAGATTTCTCAACTCAAGAGAATCAATAGCTTCGTTAAAAACACAGACTCTTACATAACTGTTGAGAAACAAATACTGTAGCTGGAACTCACTCACTTCAGAGTGCAGCCTCAGAAAATTGCTGTGTTTATATTTCTTTATTCTGAAAGCACTTGTGTGGAGTAGCACAGTTTTTAGATCTCTGCTCCGTCTGCATTACAGTGAAACCACAGACCGCAGAAATTGATAATCTGACCAAAAGATTTCATATTTACACTGAGTAGTACAAGCATTATTTTTAATTGAAAGACATAACCCCGCAGGTACAGTAGTAAACACCTTTTCTTTTCAAGGAACTATGTTACGAATTTGACCAATTTGTCCTGGTCTGGCTTGTCTTTCCTTCCCGCGTGAAGACAGAAACGGGCAACATCAGCCTCGCGGCCATCAAGTGGGTGGAAGTGAAAATCTCAAATCCCTTTTACAGCAGTCGGCTTCTCCTCTTCCTCTCTCTGGTGCAGCAGCAGTGTCATCTGCCTGTCCATGCTTCATCCCTGCTTGTCTCTCCCAGATGAAGGACATTTTCTTCTTCCTCTTCTTCCTGGGGGTGTGGCTGATGGCGTACGGTGTAGCCAATCAGGCGCTGCTCTACCCGTACGAGCCGCGAGCGGAGTGGATCATGCGGAGGGTCTTTTACCGGCCCTACCTGCACATCTTTGGACAGATCCCGCTGGAGGACATAGACGGTGAGAGGGGTGGTCTGGGGCGGACCTGGCCGTGCAGCGCAGCACAGGAGGAGACTCGGAGACGTCGGCATCGCAACGCTGACCGATCAACTGGGGGCACAAGTGGAAACTGCATGAAAAACTGAGAGCAGGGGGGACTTCTTCTTACAAAGGGTTGTGGGAGTCTGGAACAAGCTATTGAGCCATGTTATTGATGCTCTGATGTCTCATTATAGATCTCATCCAACTAATTTTGTCTCATTCAATTAATTTTTAGATATTCATGTTAAATGGTCCCAATGCTGTTATCTTTTCTCACTGTTATGCTCAGAGCAGCAGAGAACAGTGGTCTGCTTCCCTGTAGTATCTGCTCGGTCTTTCTCTCTGTTGTAGTGTCTGTAGCTGATAGAACTCTGATCACTATGAAATAAGTAAAATATTTTTATTTTTGGTTGTTTTAGTGGTTAAAAACCACCTTAATTGCAATAAATTAAAAACACCAACACAACTACACATCTCTTATGAATATATACAGTATCTTCAACAGACAGGGTTAGCAAGTCTCTCTCTCTGTCTCTGCAGCCGCTAAGATGTCTGGGGAAGGAAACTGCTCTTACGATGCGGAGGAGATTCATATGGGCATGGAGCCATGCACCAATACCTATGCCAACTGGCTCGTCATCATCCTGCTTGTGGTGTACCTGCTGGTCACCAACATACTGCTGCTGAATCTGCTGATCGCTATGTTCAGGTATAGAGACATCTGGGCCTTTTTGTTTCCTTTCTGTCCTTTGCAGCTGCTGAAGGTGCTGTTTATCTGTACATAAACTCCTGGGCTGCTCTTTCTGTCCCTCTTCATCCTTCGTCTCATTACACTGCAGCTCGAGTAAGTGATCTCATTGTTCAGTCATACAGCTTCAGAGGTGTATCTTTCTCCTTGTGTTTCTCTTCGTTCGCAGTTACACATTCTCCAAAGTCCAGGGCAATAGTGACATCTACTGGAAGTTTCAGCGCTACAACCTGATTGTGGAGTATCACAATCGGCCAGCTCTGGCCCCGCCCTTCATCCTCCTCTCACACATAAACCTCTTAATCAAGAGGAACATTCGCAAAGTGCCCTCTGTCAAGATACAGCATTTCAGTGAGTCTCTGACCGTCATGACCTGGGATTTCATTGATTGTTTTTCACAACTTACCAGTGGTGTGACTTGGCTCTCTATGTATTGCTTTCTGCTTGAGAGGCTATGAAACAATAAGTCTGTGTCACTGAAGTATGTGTGTGTGTCTGTCCTTAGTGTTGGATCTAAGCAAACAGAAGGACAATCGTCTCTTGACCTGGGAAGCAATTCAGAAGGAAAACTTCCTGGCACAGCAGAACAAATGCAAAAGGGAAAGCGACTCGGAGCGACTCAAACGCACCTCTAACAAGTACTGCATTGTTGTCTACTATAGCATCTCATGTAGCTGGCATTTTGTATATAAACACGCGTTAACATGCTCAGAGACTGTTCACACATGGGTATACATTCGATTCTGCTGTCCAGAGCAGTCCTGCCCTGAGCTTAGTTGTACACCCTGTCCCCAGTTTTTCCTAGCTCAGATCTAAGGGACTGAATCTCTGCAATTACAGTGACAGTCTTGACAAATACAGCAGAACCTAGAACGGCAGCAGGACTGGGCTCAGTGTTCTGCTCTCTGTCCCGCAGGGTGGACAATGTGCTGAAACACATGGCGGAGATTCGGGATCATGATCGCAGACTGAAAGTGCTGGAGTCGGAAGTGAGTCCACCTTCATCTTCCTCTCCCTCCCTGTATTCAGTACTGTGCCTTGCTCAGCCCAGTGTGTCTTTATCTGTGTTCACAGATGGAGTACTGCTCTAGTGCCCTCTCCTGGATGGTTGAAGCACTCTCTCAGAGTAATGTCATTAAAGCTACCCGTCCCCCACCCACCCATAAAGGTGGGTCCCAGGATTTTGTCTACTGTTCTAGGGAAATAGGAACTCCCTTTCCAATGGAAATTGTCTGTATTCAGAACCTACTGTATCTGCTTTTCCAGTTCATTTAATACAAGAGGTTGCTACATGGTCTGCCTCAGCTGTGCATGTGTGAGGAGAACCTGTTCTCTCTCAGCATCTTCAGTGTCTCATGGTTTGTTCCACTAGATATCTTAATTCCAGACTCAAAGCGATCCCTTTAACTGTGTTATATACCTGATTAGACCTTTTTGAGCTCTTAGGGAATTGCAGACTCATTGTGTTCTCTTATACCCAGTGTTGAGAATCGGGCATCACTCTTTTAGGTCTGTTGTCCCTGGTCTTGGGGATCACAGCTTCTCATTAGGGTCTGTAGTGCCCAATACTGGGGATCAGATCGTCTCATAGAGATCTGTTCTACCCAGAGTAAAGTGTAGTTGTTATCTAAAGTTACAAAGTTGAATTAAATGGTGCAATAGTCGATTCTGCAGTCTGAACTCTGAAAATCAGGCTTGTCTTGTGCTGCATGTTAGGAATAGAAAGCCAAATTAAGAATCTTTCCAAGAAGCTGCAAAAACAGTTCTATGGACCATAGCAATGAGACGTAATGATCATATACTGGTTGTTAAGACATGAAATCTACAAAAAATGTTTTACCAGAAGAAAAGGCAAGGAGACCATTTTAGTGATTTGGACATTCAGGAGTTTTCCAGGCACAACAGTACCAGCATGTGTCTCATGGGTCTTATCTGTTTCTGTCCAGATCCCACCACCCCTTTGTAGGACGTTTGTATCCAGTTCATCATGTGTCTCTTACAACACTCATCTCCTGTGGAATGCTGGCGGACCGTTTTCTCAGGGAGAAATGGATTCTTTTGACGGTCATGGATGACCATCTTTAATTGCATTTTAATTACTGTCACTCGTTTTAGATTCTAAAATGTCTGTAGGTTCAGAAAAGTAAAAGTATCTGATTTTATTCCAAAGACTCATTTGAGCAGCAGTTTAAAATCTGTTGAAATGGTTAAGTTATTGACTGCAGGGCTGGACATGTTCACTACATGTGATACTGCATTTTCCTCCATTATCTAGCAAGAGCCTTTTATGTGTCTGTGAAATTCACAGGCGTGAAGGGGGAGTTCTCGTATATAACAGTTGTTCCTGGATGCATTAGGCATTACTGCTCAGGCTGTAGAGTTGCATGGAGAGACTCTGAGGCCCAGTTGCTCAGATCAAGACTTGAATAAACATGTTCTAAATATCCTGAAGGCTTGCTTCTTTCTTTCAAACAGTTTTGAATGACAGTTGTGTTTTTGTTACTTTGACTGCTCAGGGTGGACACAGCCACTTCTGTCTCACGTTTTTGAGAATTACCAAAAAATGCATTTTTTTAAAGGCTATTGTGGTAAACAGCAAAAATACTAAACTTTGCTTTTTTCTGTTGGAATTCTGAAAGTCTGTATCTTGTGGGCAAGTGGAACGCAATTCATGAAAGAACTCCTTGAAACAAGTCTCTATAAGTATCTCTACTGTAAAATACCACTGCTATAGTAGGTCTTTTCAGTTGTACAGTTCTCTGTTCTATGAGTGCCATGAATAAAGATATCAGACAAATTTTAATAACTGAACAATTCTATGAATTGTCAAACTGACACCACCAAGAGAAATTCTATGTGAGATATACAATATGAATTGTACCAAAGGTCATATGATTTGTGCTGCATTGTAGAAGCTGTGCGCATTGCAGTAGAGAACATACTAGAGTCACCCACTCTGTCCACTGAGTTTGAGTGAACTCTGCTGTGATGTGGATCAGGGGTTATGTGATCTTCAGTATTCATTGCCGCCAAGGTCACATGACCTCTGGGTGGAACAGCGCTGGACAGCACAAGTCATGTGGCTTCTAAAAATGGATCAGTTTTTATTCTGGCAGGTTATTTGGAGAGTTTCTGAATGATTTAAAAAAACATGGAATGTTTTTCACAGCAAAAATACAGTCAGACAGACTAGAAAAATGCATCTAAATGTGTGTAAATCCACATTATTATTTCAGAGTATGTGTAATATCAGAACAAATTTATGTGAGTCAGAGAAGAGTCCGATTATGTTTTGGGTCTGTCACATGTTCTTAGACCATTGACCAAGGGGGATAAATGGGCTTCCTATTGGTTAAAATTGAATGTTATGTTTGGCTTCAAGCCACATGTCACGGGCAAAAATAAAGGGCTAATGAGTTGGTTTAACTTGGAAAAGGAAACCAATTGAGTACCTAGTGGATTACCAGGGGTGGGACGGTCCTTACTGATTGTTCGTATGTGTCTCTCCCTCCCCTGTGGCAGGAGCCCTAGATTGGGGGGTTTCCCCTGTGTTCTCTGCAGGGGGTTTGCATCCAGAGGATGTTCTCGTGTGCTGTGGTATTTTGAGTGGTTTGCGCACATTAAATTGGAGACTTTATTATTTTTTTAACTGTATATACTGAGTATTTTTCCATGGCTCTTGTACATCTACAATCAATATACAGGATGCCATTTTACACATGGAGCTACAAGTTGGTGCTGGATCAGATGTGTGTGCGGACATCATGAGCATTAAATGGTGCAGTTTCATTTTTCTTGCTGGTCTAGTGACCTTAGCCCTTAATGCTTCTTGAGGGCAGCATTTG